GCCCTGAAGACAACAACAATGGCCAGCTGGACTGGGTTGGACTTGGCTAGCAAGGGTAACCCTGACAAACAGGAGTCCTTCCAGGAACTCACAGGTCCTGCACATGGGGGTCCCCAAGGGTCTCACAAGTCCTCTGGAGTCGCAGGCCTGGGAGTGCTTGTACTGGAGAGATGTCCAATGGTACATGGTGCCCCTCATGCTCTCCAGACCACACCCTCCTCTCACCTTGGCTTTAAAGGCCATGAGCTTCAGGATCATCTCCAGGGTGAAAAGGACAGTGAAGGCTACGTTGAGGATGTCTGAGACGTGGTTCATTTCTGGAGACTGGTTGTAATGCTGAGGAGAAGTCAGAAAGAGGCAGGTTAGCCCACAGCAGACCCAGCCTCCCCCCTGCCACAGACCCACGGCTTAGAAACCATCAGCAAAAGGGAAATTTCCTCCCTGCAGCCCCTTCTCTGGGCTCCCCACATCCAACCAGCCCCACTTTGCCCTTGTCCCCAGAGGTGCCAAGCACACACCATGAGCTGAGCCGTGCAGGGCAGACCTCTGACCTCCTCCCCAGAAACTCCTGGAGGTGGCAGGGCTGAGCTGGGCACCCCCCTCCATCACCCGTGGTGGGCACAGCGCCCCTTACCTGCATGCCCAGGCAAAAGAGGAAGAACATGAGGTACTCGAAGTAGGAGGAGGTGACCACGTACCAGATGTGGTACTGGTAGGGGTTCTTGGGGATGTAGCGCCGCAGGGGACGAGCCTTCAGAGCATACTGCACACACTGGCGCTGGGGGAGGCCAGATGTGAGCCCACATCTGGGGGGCACAGCCAGAGCCAGCACCCCTGGCATCACCGCACGTCCCCCCAGCCCCACGCTGCACCACCCCCTCCTCCCTCAGCCCAGAGACACGGGCCAGGGGCACCATTCATGCTGCACAGACACCCCCAGGGCACCCCCGTGGGACCCAGTGCCCCAGGTCACTGCCTGCCTCCCAGGACTGCCACACTGCCCTGGCACCAACCCCTCCAGCCCTCAGCCTGCCTGCTTATCGTGGCACGGGCTGGCCAGGAGCAGCCTGAGGACACCACCAGAGCCAGGGCTGAGGGGGGCACTGGTTCTCCCCTCCCCAGCAGGCCAGGGCCAGGATCTCAGGGTGCTGAGCCCATGTGAGGCTCCCACCACCCCTGGCACCCTCAGCTCAAGGTGCTCTTGCTGGCTCTGGCTCAGCACAGCAGCGTGTGTGGTGTGTGCCAGCACTTCCCCTGGGCCAGCTGGCACCCCTGTCTAGCTGTGCCCCCCAGCACGTGCCCATGCTGGTCTCATTTCTGCTGCTTCCAGCCCTGATGCCTCCAGCCACAGCCACAGTGTGACAGCATGACAGAAGGGCTGGCAGTGGAAGGTGCCTCTGGAGATGGCCTGGCCAAGGTCCCCTGCCCAAACCAAGGCCAGGCAGAGTGTGTTGCCCAGGGCTGTGTCCAGCTGGGTTTTGAATACATTCAAGGATGGAGCCTTCACAAACTCTGAGTGACCTGTTCCAGTGCTTGACCACCCTCACCATAAAAAAGGTGTTGGTTTTTTTTTGTGTTTAAACCAAATTTCTTGTTTTCTTCAGTTTGTGCCCACTGCCTTTTGTCCTGGGACTGGTCACAGCTGAAAAGATCCAGGCTCCACCCTTGCTACCCCTTCCCACTGGGTACTTCCACTCATGGGTAGGAGCCTTCTCTTCCCAGTACCAGGCTCAGCCCTCAGCATCTCCTCACAGGACAGATGCTCCAGACCCTCAGACATATCCATGGCCCTTTGCTGGACTCACACCAGTATGTCCATGTTGCTTTTGTACTGGGAGCCCAAAACTGGGCACAACCCTCTGCTCCAGCCCAATCTGGGCACCCTACCTACACCAGAAGGCCCATTCCCTGGTTCTGGTCCAGGGCTTGCCCTGTGCCAGGCATAGGTCCAGTTACCCCTGGGGCAGGACCAGCTTCTCTCCACCACCACCACGGCTGACCCAAACCAGCCCCAGGGCTGGAGCACCTTGCCCTGAGCCAGCAGTCCCATTACCTGGTTCTTGTCCAGCTCACAGTTCTTGTACTCGCTCTCTCCCTGCTCCTGGAAGGTGACGATGACAAAGCCCACGAAGATATTCATCATGAAGAAGGCAATGAGGATGATGTAGATGATGAAGAACATTGCAATCTCCACCCGGTAGTTGTAGATAGGGCCTTTATCCTCAGCATTGGTGTCAATGGCCATGTACAGCAGCCTGCAGGAGGGAAGGTGAGGCAACAGAGATCCTAATTAGCTGGGAAAGGCCACCTCTCCTCTTGAAGGTCACAGAGAGCTCTGGAGACATCTCAAAAAAAAAATAAAGACAGGGCTACCAGGATGACCCTGTCAGCTCCAGAGCCACTAGCCAAGGTGGCTAGCCCTGCTCCAGACCCTGTGCCCAGCCCAGACTCACTCTGGCCAGCCCTCGAAGGTGGAGACAGTGAAGAGGGACATCATGGCTGAGAAGACATTGTCAAAGTGGAAGTTGCTGTGCAGCCAGACACGCTGCTGCAGCTCCAGCTGCGTGGGGTCTGCGTCCACGTAGTTGATGAAGGAACCCCTGCAGAGAAGGGGTGAGGGGCTCACAGGCAGGGCTCCCCCCCACGCCCACCCCCATGGCACTGGCCCAGGGCTCTTTGGTCCCTGGGAGGGAAACCCTGGGAGAGGAGGAGAGGCCCCTGCTGGTCTCTGTTCTACCCCAGGGGGGGGAGAACAGCACGAGACCTCAGCCCTGCTTTGGGTGCAAGGTTTCCACGCAGCAGCAACACGAGTGGGCTCAGCCCCCCACCCCCCAGCCCGCCCTGCTGGGGCTGAGCTGCAGAGGGCTCTTACCTGCACTCCTTCTCTGTCATCTTGGATGGGTCTGTGCATCTGTAGAACTTGCCCTGCCGTGAACAGAGAGCAGAAGAGGCTGCCCCTCTGCTGGGATTCCAGAAGCCCTGGGGAGTTCTGACACCTCCACAGCCCACAGCCCATCTCCATCCTGCCTTCATGATGACTCTGGGCCCTGCCTCACAGCACCACTGGCCTCCCCACTCTCTGTGCCAACACAACCCAGCTCACAGGGTGTTTCAGGAGCTATGGCAGACCCTCGGGGTCAGTCCCAGGCTGAGACTAGTAAACATTGCCTAGAGATAGAGCCAAATCTTCCAGGGCATAGCTGAGACCTATCCAGCTCATCCTATCTGGGAGCCTCTTTGGAACATAGGGAAGAGCAGTAACCACAGAATCAACTGCAAGTTAAGGTGGGCTGACAGGTCTGCTCAGGCTGCAGGGTGTCCTGAAAGCTCTCCCCTCATCAGCTCAATTTAAGCTCAATTTAAGCTCAATTATTAGACCAAAGCTGGGCTCAGCCAGGGACAGCTCTGCCTTGGAGCAGCCAAGGCCCAGCCAGCATGAGAAGTGCTGTGAAAAAGGAGCCACTTTGCTCCCAGAGTGCAGAGGAAGCCAGAAGCACCTGCTGCCTTAGAAAGGGGAAACTGAGGCAAGACGTGGGGCCAGGCAGCTGGTCCCTGTCCCCTCTGGATGTGACAGTATCCTGGGGGTTTCCTGCCCTCCTCCCAGTGCCCCGATGTCTGGGGCAGGCAGATCTTCTTGCAGAGCACAGAGCACAGCCTGTGCTGGCCCCACCCCTGGGAGACACCAGCCCCAAGGCCTAGAAGCTCCTGTCCAGGAGGTGCCTGAGCAGAACGTCCCTCCTGCCCACCTGAGGCACCTCACACAGCCCTCACCTTGAAGAGCTGGACCCCGATGCAGGCAAACATGAACTGCAGCAATGTGGTGACAACCACGATGTTCCCAATGGTCTTGATGGCCACGAACACACACTGGACCACGTGCTGTGGAGGCCAAGGACAGTGGACACGTGAGGGTGCTTGGGGGGTGCCCAGGCTGAGTGTCCCACACTGTCCCACTGCAGGGATGGGCCCCAGGAAGATCAGGAGCCTGCTGAGAGCTGTGGGGTGGGACAGATCCCTTCCACAGAGGAGTGAAAATTGGCTTCCTGGCCCCACAAACCCCCTAGGGTATGATGTCTACCACAGAACCTCCCCTGAGGTCCACGGGCTGAGGACCTGCAGCCCCAGCATCCTTCTCACCTTGAGCCCCTTTGCCCTGTTAATGGCTCGCAGAGGCCTCAGCACCCTCAGGACCCGGAGGATCTTCACCACTGAGATGGTACTGGACCTGAGGAGGAAGGCAGAGCTGAGATGGGACAGCTCTCCTGGCCAGGGAGGCCAGGCTGGCACCAGAGCTGAGGAGCAAGGGATGGCAGAGACACTCCACAGAAGGCCAAGGGACACTGGCAGCTGCAGAAAGCAGCTCCAAGGGGGATTTCCACCCAGATCTTCACCTTTGACACTCAAGCAGTTTGCCTCCCTGCCTTGCCCTGTCCCCCAAGCCAAACTTTATGGATAGTGACAATGGGCTAATGCCCAGCCTTTGGAGAAGGAGCTCCACCCAGCACAGAGGGCTGCAGGACCCCAGCTGCCCTGCCCAGTGCCCACCCCGTGGAGCCTGGAGGTGCTTACTCAATTCCCATGGAGGTGAGGGAGACAGCGACCACCAGCAAGTCCAGGATGTTGAAGGAGTTCCTGCAGAAGGAGCCTTTGTGCAGGAAAGCACCATAGGCTGTCATCTGGGGAGCAGAAGGAGTCAGGAGAGAGGCCAGGCAGGACTCGGGGGCACGGTCCCTCCACAGCCCTGGGGTGGACAAGGCACGAAGGGCTCATCCCAGCTCCATGGCCTGGGGACCCTGTCCTGCTCAGAATCCTACCCCTGCAGCCAGGCAGGAGGCTGACTTCAGCTGGAAGCCCTCTGCACTGCACTGCCTGGAGACAAAACACTTCCCAGTCCTTCCACAAATCAAAGAGGAGAAGAGCAGGGAGACTTGGAGGTGGAGGAACACGCAGCAGCTGCTGGAATCCCTGCTCTATTCAACAGATTCCCATTGCTTTCTCTTTCTCCAAGTTTTTCTCAAGGGAACACCAGGAGAGAAGAGCTGGTGCCATGGCCCATCTGCCCCTCTCACAGCAGAGCTGCCGTGGCTGCCTGACCTCACTGCATCAGCTCTGGGGAGGAGAGCATCAGCCAGCAGCTTCTCCTTGCCAGGACCTTAAGCTTGTGCCCAAAAAGTATGAGTGCCCATGGCCAGAAGAGTCTTGTCCCACGTGCTGGGTCAGGCACAGGGCCAGGGCCACGGGGCAGAGGGACTCACCTTTAAGACGATTTCGACTGTGAAGACAGAGGTGAAGCCAATGTCAAAGTATCTGAGAACCTGGGGACAGAAGCACCAGAGCTGAATGAGATTTGGGTGACGTGGGAAATGCTGCAGTGTGCTCAACCACCTTGGCACTGGGGTTTTGTCACCCCGTGGCCTGGGGAGCCCATTGAGCTCAAAAGAGCCTTCAAACAACTAGGAAGGCTCCTGAATGTCCCTCAGCTTTGCAGGTTTTCCCCAGCCCATGATCCACCCTGCAGCCTGGTGGGTGATGTGGGAAATGCTGCAGTGTGTTCAACCACCCTGGCACTGGGGTTTTGTCACCCTGTGGCCTGGGGAGCCCGTTGAGCTCAAAAGAGCCTTCAAACACAGTGCTAAGAAGGCTCCTGAATGTCCCTCAGCTTTGCAGGTTTTCCCCAGCCCATGATCCACCCTGCAGCCTGGGACCAATCTCCCAGTTTCAAACTGAGTGAGGCTTGACTGGATTCACCTGAAAGCATCTGATCCCCCAAATCAGAGTGCCCTGGGAAGCTGCCTCATGTGAGACACCCCAGATCCTCCCAGACACTACACAAGTGCAGACCCATTTCTGCCTAGACCTGTGGCTACCACTGCTCCATGCCAGCAGCCTTTCAGGGGGCTGCACACACTCCTAGTCCACTTAGCCACCTCAGAGGATGTCCCTATCCCAGCCAGGCCACCCCAGCCTCTCACATACACCATCCAGTCATCCACTGAGGGATGGAGAAGGAAAAACTTCTCCCAGCTGTGCCCTGAATGGCTTCTCCTCCCAGAGGCAGGGATGAAACCACAGCTACCTGTCCAGGCATGGCAGCTGGCAAGCAGGTCTCTGCTTTCTGGGGAGCTGGGGGGGTCTCCATGAGGTCCTCCCCCCCCATCTCAACCCTTCACAGCCCCCCAGGCACCTGGTTGCGGAAGGACTCGGCCCGGATGGGATCCTCAGCTGCCAGTGAGATGCTGCTGAGCAGGATGAAGAGCAGGATGAAGTTGGTGAACCAAGTGGCATTGATAATCCTGTGGCACAGCACCCGAAACCTGCCAGGGATAGGAAGGGCATGAGGTGCTGCAAGGGGGCAGAAGGACATCAGGTAGGACCACGGGAGCCTGGGAGAGGGTTATGGTTAAACCTGGAGGGCAGGAAGACCCTGGGCACAGAGGGATGTCCCTGCCAGCCCTTCCACAGAGGCTTCCCCAGTGAGCTGGCCAGAGCTGGCTGTTAAGGCCAAGTAGGAGCCCATGGGAAGGGTCAGCACCAGAGGTACCTGGGCCACACCTGGCTGCACAAGGCAGGGAGAAGGGTCAGTGCCTACTTGTTGGTCGGGCTGAAGATGAAGAAGGAGCTGGCTTCAGGCATGGGCACTGCCTTCTCCTTCAGCTGCAGCTCTGCAAGGGGACGTGGCCGAGGACTCAGGGGGATTTCAGGCTCATCTTCCTCATCATCACCTGCACAGTGGCCACGAGGAGGGAAAAGGAAAGAATCAGCCAGAGAGGGAGAGGGAATATGGCCTCACAGAGAGTCCTCTGATGCTGTGACCCTGATCTGGCACCTGTGCCAGCAGGACCTCATGGCCCAAGGCTGGTGAGGGATCCCCACGTCCTTTGCTCCTCACAGAGCCAGGGCTCTGGCACCAGCCCCCAGCAGAGTCTCCCCAGCTTTCCAGCTGCCCTGCCAGGGACAAGCCTTACCTGGGAAGTCTGCAGAAGGGTATGGGTCTTTGATCTCATTGACATTGGACTCAAATTCATCCACTTTTAACTGAAACGAGGGAGAGACAGAGGAGGGGACATGCAGCTGTGTGTGCCAGTGCAGCTGCCAACCCTTGCCAGACCCCATCACCTCAGAAGCCATGTGGGGCAAGCAGGGTCTCTGCACTGGGCCTGAACAGCACCAAGCACACGGGGGTCCTGGCCCAGGATGGAGCAGGGTGAAAATTGCCTCAGGGGTGCTGCAATCTGAGCAGAGAGCAATACCCAGAGGAGGGGACAGGGGAACATGTGCTGGGCCAGAGCCTGGGGCCATGCTCCTGTACCGTGGGTGGAATGAGCCATGGGGTGACTCCTGGGTGAGCTCCCATGGGACAGCTCTGGAAAGTGGACAGGGAAGTAGCTGCTGGCCAGAGGTCAGCAGAGTTGAACAGAAGGTTTTGCATACAGGAGGTGCTGGTTAAGGAGGTCTGGGATGCTGCTGACCTGCTCTGCTCCCCTCCACGCTGGTGTCCAGCCCACCTCAACCACTGACAAGTGACTGTGGCCAAGAAATCAGAGGAAAAGGATGCCCAGCAATGGCCCTGTCTCACCCAGCAATGGCCCTGTCTCACCCAGCAAGCTGTCCTGTGAGGGCCCAGAGAGCCCACATCACCAGAGCATGCAAGGAGAGAGTCTGGCCCAAAAGAACCCAGGCTGGCTCCAAGCCTTTGCCAGTTGTGCTGGTGGGAGGAGAAGACTTGTCCCTCCCCAAGAGCTTCCCCAGGCCCAGCCCCACCAGCACTGACCTTGGCTGTTGTGGGAATCCCTTCTCCCTTTGCTTTCTGCTCCAGCTTCTTTGCCAGCATCTGCTTCTCATCCTCAGACTTCTCTGGATAACCTCTGAGTGGAGAGGAGGGGCGAGCAGGAACTGAACTCGGGGCAGGAGCAGGGGTGATGTCCCCCTGTCCCCTCCCCTCCCCTCCTGCTCTGGGAGCCCCCAGGGCCATGGGATGCTGCCCTCACCTGGACATCTTCCGGCGCTTGCGTTCCTCTGCTTTGGCTTTCTGGGCTAACGTCAGGCTCTCAGCCTCGGCCAGGTTGTCAACTGCAATGGCCAGGAAGACATTGAGGAGGATGTCTGGGGGGATGGTGCTAAGGACAGCAACTTGGGTCCCGTTTGGAGGATGTGGCCAGAGCTGCCCGTGGTCTCCAGGGGTGCCCTGAGAAACCTTCCTGGTGTTGAGCCCTGGAGAGAAAGCTGGGTGGTGACCCCAACCCTGCACCCATCCTGTGAGTCCTGAGCTCTGGCTGCCCTCCCTCTGCCTCGCTGCTGCCTGGCAGCCACCCAGGCCTGCCCCGTGGTGTGCCTTCCTCCTCTCCAGCCACCAGCAGTGCAAGCCCTGAAGCCTGTGGTTTGCTGTTCAGGGCTCAGATGCTTAAGGAAGCCCCTTGCCCTGGGCTTGGCTGAAGGGGCAGGGTTTGTTTTCAGAGTGTGGGTTTAGCCTGCAGCCAGAGCAGGCAGAGCTGCTTCTCAGGTAAAGGGTTTATGGTCACTCTCTTTAGATGTTATTTCACTGATATTACCATTATTCCTGTTTAGCTGCTAGCTGAGGTTGAACCATGACACCTCCCCTCTCCCACCCCATTTCCCCATGCTCACAGCCCTGTGCAGCTGACCCTCACAGGCAGAGGATACAGTTCCCACACACAAAGAGGATGATGAAGTAGATGCAGACCAGCATGCCAGGAAAGGACGGGCCCCCATAGGCCATGATCCCATCATACATGATTGAATTCCAGTCCTCTCCAGTCAGAATCTGGGAGCAGAGCAGAAACAGGGACTCAAAAGCCTCCCCCAGCAGTGCACAGCAGAACCCCACAGCTCAATCCTGACCTCCTGGCTCCAGCCCCAGCCCCTCCCAGCCCCACCTCCCTGCTCAGCCCCACACCTGCACTACTGCTCCTGCCTCCAGTCCCTGCTCCTGCCTCAAAGCCACATCACCCCCCACAAACCCACATGTCTCTGAGCCCCAGGTCTTGCCAGGAGAGCCAGGCAAGGCTCCCAGCACCCCACCTTCCACCCCCTGTTGCACTTCCCACAGCCCATACCTGGAAGACACTGATGAGGGCCTGGGGGAAGTTGTCAAACGTGCTGCGCCTCACATCCATGTCCTCAAAGTCAAATTTGCCCCCAAAGAGCTGCATGCCCAGCAGCGCAAAGACGATGATGAAGAGGAAGAGGAGGAGGAGCAGAGAGGCAATGGAGCGCACAGAGTTGAGCAGGGAGGCCACCAGGTTGCTCAGGGATGTCCAGTACCTGGGGAGAGGAGGGACAGGAGTGTGTGGGATAGGAAAGGCTGGAGAAGGCTGTGGGCAGGACCAGGCAGGCACAGGGACCAGACTGCCCAGCCCGGGGGGTGTGTCAGCAGCCCAGTGAGGGGGGCTCTGAGCCAGCACCACTCCCAGGCTGGGTACCTGCACTGCTCCAGCCAGGCCACAGGAGCTGGAAATGAAACTCCAGGTGTGGAGCAAGACAGACAAGACATCCTGCTGCCCACCCAGGGCACAGCAGGCAGGGTGGGGAAAGGGGATGGACACCCAGTGGGCTGGTGCCAGAAAGAGAAGCCCAGAGTCCTGACCCACAGCACCACCATTTACAGCACTCCAGAACCCTGAGTGAGGAAAGGACCCCAGGAGACCTCCAGCGAGCCCTGCTCTGCCCTCCTCACCACTCCAAGACCTCATCCTGGAGCCAGAAATCCCCAGCTTGACCTTGTTCCTCCAGCCAGGAGCTGCCACCTCTGCTCCTGCTGCGTTCCTCCCCGGGGACAGAGCCCAGCAACACTCGGGGGGGAGCTGGCCAGCACCCAGAGACCTCCCCCCCCAACCTGGTGATCTTGAAGATCCGGAGGAGCCGGATGCAGCGCAGCACGGAGATGCCCAGGGGTGACAAGGTGTCCAGCTCCACCAGGATGGTCTCCAAGATGCCCGCACACACCACGAAGCAGTCGAAACGGTTGAAGAGGGACATGAAGTACTGGCGCAGGCCCAGGGCGTACATCTTCAGCAGCATCTCAGCCACAAAGAGAGCCAGCAGCACCCGGTTGGCGTTGTCTGGGACGGGAGGTCCAGCCCGTCAGAGCACGGACCTCCTGCCCCCAGCACAGCCCAACGGGGGATGTAATGGTTTGAAACCTGCTG